TGATAATCCATGCACGAGCACATAGATTATCCCAATTCATATGAGTCAGCCTAAAGTGTTATCTGGTTGCAGCGCATCCTGAACACAAGTTTTAGTTTAATTCTGCAAAGCTTGCTTTCTGAAGCTTCTGGAAGTTTGAGGCCTAACACTGACAATACCTTTGTACAATACTTTTGTTCATATTAATCACATCCCCCCGAGGCCTAAACTTCTGACTTAGGAAAAACAACATTTATTTGAGTATATCGCTTTATAACAGGGGCAAATAGCGAATGCAGGCAAATATTAAAGCCCCAGCAATAATTATGGTAAAACAGACTAACAATCCCAGAAGAATGTGTGGGCCCTACTGCTCCACAATATGTAACAATCTTTCAGGGATTCCAATCACCTGGTGAGCTGTTTCTTTAATATCTTGACTGATCGTGAAGACAAATCTTCCTATTCCTTCTAACCATGGGATTATTATCGCATCCTCAGATTGAGTAGAGGGAGGAATCACCAGGGTTAGCTCCTGGTAACGTTCCTGTGAGACATTAAAAATCGCAGAAATAACATTGCCTAGCTGAATTATTGCTAAGTCAATTTCAGAGAATTTTTGGACAAATCTCCTCTAATTTGGACACCCATAGGGGTGTAGGCAGGTGCACCTGGAGCTTCACTGTGTCATGTGCACCATGAACCCATGTAGAATTGATGATAGTGCCTAATTGGAAATGATAATAAGACCAATTGACGCAAGCTATACTTTCAGTTGGCCGAAATACGATATGGAGCATATAGTTGATAACAATAAGAATGATGTTTCAGTGAATTTTTGAGGAATGCCTACACACCAGCTTCCTGTCATTGCTTCCTCAGAATATGTGTTATTGATTAAGGATTTTTTAAGATGGAGCCATCACTTGCACATCATACACTTTACTTGAGCGGTACAATGTTTTCTAACACTCACAGGGCCACAAATGGCACCAAATAAAGGCGCTTTCCTATAACCTTCTTCCCAAGCAGAAGCATTTTTACAGCGGTCTGACTTACTAACAGCAATTGACAAAACAAGATCAGTAAGTGGCGATTTATTTGGTTTTGCTGCTGGACTACTGCTTGGAGACTGCGTCGATCTCAAACAGAACTTCTGTTGCATAGGGTGTAAGTTGTAACAGATGTAACATACTGGAGATTTTGTTCAAATGTCCAATTATTGCTTTGAGGTCCAATGGGATAATATATTTTTAATAGTTTGGTCCCCAACAGTTTCTCCAAAGCACCCACATCCCATTTTACTTCCGTTTGACAAGCATACACAGGCCCTTCACTGTACGTGAAACATGAAGAGTTATAATACACACAACCAAAGAACCAGAGCTTATCATTAATAGGGAGTATACATCCAAAAGGTGGCTGAAGAAAATAAATATAGGTAATGATGGAGCGGTTTCCCAGCGAAGGTTTTTCAATAACAGTTAAGTTGACAGCCTTTACCGGGCACCAAGGATCGCTGGCATTGCAAACATTCCCATTGAATGTGCACTCAGGAAAGGATGAGTTCACGGGGGTGAAATAGGTACCATTTCCTAAGCACAAATCAGCTGCCTCTGATTTCAATACTGAAGACACCCAAATGAAGAAGAGCCACATTCCTGTAACAAGGAACACAATGCAGCTCACTGTACGGGTTCAGTGGCCAGAGGGGTTATCCAAGCTTGATTAGCATGGATATTACCGCTAGCAGTAGAAATTAGGTACATAAATGGATAGGATAGTATCTCTGTTATTTTTCCTCTAAGGGTTCATGAATCTGAGGCAATACAAGCCAGACCAACTGATCTTTTTGGTACAAAGGCTTCCAAGGGTCAGCCTCAAGGAGTGGCTTCCGTTGATAACTATATTGCCATTTTTCAGAATTTATTCCCCGGATAATTTATTTTCCCACCCTTTCCAATCACCCTGCTCATTTTTTAATCTAGGTTTAAGATCTCGGATTTTTTTTCCACCACCCCATTGCTTTGTGGGTGGTAAGGCAGGTGTAAAATGGGAGCTATCAACTGGCCTGAACACCAACACTCCCATTCTCAGCTATTCCAAGGAGGACCTCCGTCAGTAAAAATGATACCAGGAGGACCCCAGACTGTCATTAACTCCTCACAACACTTAATATTATTGGACGCCTGATAGAAACTTAATGGGAACATAGCGGTCCTCTGGGATCCTAAATCTACAACAACCAAGCCCACGGGGTTTCTTTTTGATCCTGCAAGCAGGCACATTAGGTCCATCTGCCAATGGTAATTTACCTGCCACTTTTCTTTTCTGTAAGCGCCTAACATATAAACATTAAAATATTTTCGATGGCTGAGGCAAAACTTACAGTTACCAGTAACAGTTGCAATGATTTTGCGAATCTCTGAAAACCCTAAATCACATAAAATAAATTCAAGATCAGATTTATTGCAATGACCCTGGCACAGCTACAGACTAGGGACCGAATGGCTAGGCAGCAGTTCTGCGGAAAAGGACCTAGGGGTGACAGTGGACGAGAAGCTGGATATGAGTCAGCAGTGTGCCCTTGTTGCCAAGAAGGACAATGGCATTTTGGGATGTATAAGTAGGGGCATAGAGAGCAGATCGAGGCACGTGATCATTCCCCTCTATTCGACATTGGTGAGGCCTCATCTGGAGTACTGTGTCCAGTTTTGGGCCCCACACTACAAGAAGGATGTGGATAAATTGGAGAGAGTCCAGCGAAGGGCAACAAAAATGATTAGGGGTCTGGAACACATGACTTATGAAGAGAGGCTGAGGGAACTGGGATTGTTTAGTCTGCAGAAGAGAAGAATGAGGGGGGATTTGATAGCTGCTTTCAACTACCTGAGAGGTGGTTCCAGAGAGGATGGTTCTAGACTATTCTCAGTGGTAGAAGAGGACAGGACAAGGAGTAATGGTCTCAAGTTGCAGTGGGGGAGGTTTAGGTTGGATATTAGGAAAAACTTTTTCACTAGGAGGGTGGTGAAACACTGGAATGCGTTGCCTAGGGAGGTGGTGGAATCTCCTTCCTTAGAAGTTTTTAAGGTCAGGCTTGACAAAGCCCTGGCTGGGATGATTTAATTGGGGATTGGTCCTGCTTTTGAGCAGGGGGTTGGACTAGATGACCTTCTGGGGTCCCTTCCAACCCTGATATTCTGATTCTATGATTCTCATGAACAGCCTTTGCATAGCGAATGGCTTCACGAGACGGTTCCGGCCTTTTTGCTATATGTCAGAATTGGAGGGCCTCAACAATGACAGCATGAGCGGGAGGAGTCCAGGATTTATGACTAGCAATTTTTATGACAGCAGAAATTTTTCCAAGCTCCCAATGATTTTTTAAGAATTTTACTATAGAAACCCAATGTATATTATGGGCCCTTTCAGGATTGGTGAGATCAGAGCTTTGGACTCCTAAGCTTCCCTTATAAAGGTAGGAACTGTCCACACCAATGTACCAATTTTCCTCTCCATGATTTAGTGGGACATGAGTTAAGGAGAAGGTCAGTGCCTCGACCTCGGCTAATTGAGCCGAAGGATTAGTCCGTAGTCTATAAGTCCCATTGGAGGCACATTTTAGGCAATTATACCCAACTGCCCCTTCATGCTGTGGTGCGCCATCAATCCATAACCACACTTTTTCCGTGTTATGTTCTAGAATACACCATTGTTTTTGTAAGAACCGGTGATTATTTTGAATCCATCTTACATGCAGTGGATGAAACTGGGTCTTTAGGGCCAATGCCATTTTTATAACTGCTTCAGGCATGTCCTGATGCATCCACCGAAACTCCGAACCGACTGAAAATGGATTATATGAAAACACAGACCAAATGAACAGGTTTCCTGCAATCCTCTGAAGAATGGGATACATTTGATTAAGAATAGTTAACGTTTTATCCGTGGAGGACTGATAAGAATGAAAAATGCCACTGGTAAAGGAAGAGTGATTCTCTTGTTTGAATTCCACCCACCAATGTTCATAACCAGTATTTACATACACATCCACCGTTTTAGAGGAATCGAGGTAGGTAAGAGAGGGTTCCTTAAGGAAGTGGGTTTTCCATTTTTGCCATATTGTCTGTATAAGTGGCCAATCAGGATTTTTTCCCCTACTCAGAAGGTAGGCCTGTTTGAAAAAGGCATTCCAGGAGGAAGACAAAAAACTAGTTTGGACCGCTAATCCAGCAGCCCTTTGGAAATCCTTTAAGGAATGGACAGAAGTGAGTTTGTCTATCGCTTCTATCACATCTGAATTCAAGGTAATATCTATGGCAACCCATATCCATCCCAAAAATGTTTGCCTAAGGGTGGGTTCTTTTCACTTTTCCTTTTTGATTTCCCAACCCTGGTTTGTAAGGTGTTGCATTAAGGCGTTTAAGATAATACTGCAACTATCTTGGGTGGAATCAAAAATTAAAATATCATCCAAATACCTAACCCAATTATCATAATCGAAGGAGGCCATTGATTGTGCCATCATTTGTGTAGCCCATGAGGGGGAATTACAAAATCCCTGGGGGGTGACTCAGAATTTATACTTTTTCTTATTCCACATGAAAGCAGTCAACCCTCGAGGATCTAGAATTGGAATTTGAAAAAACATATCTTTGACGTCAATAAGTGCTTTCCAGGGGTTGTTCTTTAATTTGGCAAGAAGGTTATATTGAATTTCAGTTCGATTAGCAATAATCCCTTTTTCTGTTTGGACAGCAGCATTAATTCGTCAGTAATCTATTACCAATTGCCCTTTGCCGGGTTCCTTTTTTGCTACAATCCAAACAGGTGATGCATATGGTGAGATTCTCCTCAATCCATCCATTAGTTAATGCTTGGTTAACTAATTCGTTACCCAATGTGATTTGCTCACAAGACAATGGATACTGCTTTTGAGGTCCCACCTGCACATTTGGTTTCAACTGGACTATGAAAGGAGTCTGTCCTAGCAAAGGTAGTCAAAAAAGATTTAGCACGAGGAATTTTCCCAATATTATCATTTCCAAAAATATGAAAGGAGTTACATTCCATAGGAATTAAGATTATAGAACTAACACATTCTATTGAAAAAACTGAGGCAAATCCCTTTTTAGTTCCCCTGATTCCTTTTAACCAAACTTTGGAAAGATCCCTTTTATCAACTGTTTTGACAAAGTAAACAGATTTTTCAGCATCCGTATCAAGTAACCAATTTTCCTGCTTTTCATTGGTAACTAATTTCAAAAGAGGGAGACTTTTGCTAAGATTTATTAAAATGACTTTGCTCATCTCCCTGCTCAAGCCGCCGTTTCCTTAATCATTTTTATTTTTACCCCGTGCAACAAATTCATGGTGTTCAGCCAATTTTACTAACTCAGGATCAGAGAGTCAGGCCTCTGGAAGTGTATTCTGATTTCGTAAAAAGGTGAAGGCTGCACGTGCAACCCCAGAGTGCTCCTGTTTAGGGTTCATAGAGGGATTTGATTTTAACAGTTTTGGGTTATCAATTACATTTCCTTGGTCCCACTGAATTTGTCGGGAGGACAGAGCTTCTAAGGTCAGTCCACCCAACCCTAAAACAACAGATTCCAACCAATATCGCCTGAAACATAGCTCGCTACACGTTGAAACAGTAGCTGGACTTACTACTCTGGCTTGTGTTTCTACCATGGTGTCATCTCACCATCCGGCGGTGCCATTATCATTATCTCTTACGCTGAGAATCGTATTAAAAAAAATACATGCATACAGTGACTCCCAGTCCTGGATGTCATCAGGGCCTGGCTTAGTTCTCCTTCCCTGGGTATTAGTTACAGCCATTGCCAATGCCATGATGGGAATCAGGGTTAATCTGCCAACTATTTTTGTTCTCCAGTCCCCTCCAGTTAGTCCCCCGGTTGACTGATAACTCAACACCAGGGGTCCATCCAGACCATTAAGAAAATCATCACTATGTTCCTTATATAATCGCATCACCCACTTCCAAATAGGTTCACCGTCTTTCCTAGACACCCTGGCTCGCAAATGCCAGAGCTCAGCAGTGGTGTAGGATCTATATTCAGTGACCACAGTGTTCTGATCACCATCACTTTTGGATTTGATGGTAACTACAGCGTATAGAGGCACTGCTGGAGCAGAAGGAACTGCCTCCTGCAAATTATAGGGAGGTGGTGGACTTTCTTCCTCCATTCTGACAGGAGGGGAGGAAGGGGCACAATGAGGCTGAAGCAGCAAGTGGATGGTTTTTTGCTGTTTAATTATAGTAGAATTTAAACACGCCAAGCATTCCAACACAGACTGACAAATTCCCTTCTTATTGATTTTATCTCTGTCCCAAAGCAATTCTTTTAAGACCAAAGGCTGGAGAAGCTGGTCCATGCATTGAAAATTTTCAGGGACAGTGGCTTTTACTTTGCAGACCTTCCCTAATCATTCCAATAACATGTGGGAGGGACTATCAACAGGAATTTTACCTTGTTCGTTAAAATTAACAGAAGCGGTAGAACGAATTTCCCAGGAATTAAAGGTGACCACCGCTCGGTGAGCCAAGATTCCTGTATTATGCAAGCAATTAAACCCCCTATTGGAAGTTCGGCCCTCCACTGCTACAATCTCTGGAGGCATTTCTTTAAGTTCAAAATTATAATCAATCTGAATATTCATTTGTATATTTCCATAATTTTCATTATATTGGAAAGCGATTTGTTCCACTAAATGCCCAATCGGGGTGTTCACCATATTCATACCAGTCCTACCCATATACAGGCATTCCCTGATAGGGCCTGCCTGGACCAACATTACATCTCCTTCCTGGGGTTTAGCCATCTTTACTGAAAAAACATTACTGTATCTCTTTGATGGAATTGGGCAATTTTTGTGTCATACAAAGCCCTGAGCTTGTGGGCAAATAGCTCCCTAACACGCAATAAGGGTACTGGATCAGGGGAACCTATGTACCTCTGAATTTGATCCCTTTCGGGGGGTAGCTCCCAGCAATACCCTGTGATATAAATTAGTTTGGGACTATAGTCTCCTGCTCTTAATTGTTTGCTTGATAACATTATATTGTAATACTGGTAATGATCTACTGACATCTATACTGTGATTAAATTGTACAAAAAGTATTGTCAAGTAAAAGTATTGCCAATGTTAGGCCTCAAACTTCCGTATGTTTCAAAAAGCAAGGCTTGCAAAATTAAGCTTAAGCTCGGGGTCAGGACGCGCTGCAACCAGATAACATTTTATGCTAACTCCTATGTACGTACCAAACCCACATTAAAGACTCAATTGGCTACAAAAGATAAATAGGCCTAAATTATACAACTAACTAACAATTGGCTATATACAATTAGGGCAACCACACTAACAATGTGGCCCATCCTAATTGGTTGGTCTGTTTTAAAACACGGCCGTCAGACCAAATAAAAACTACGAAGGCACAGAAACAAGTGTGTTGTTGGTCATAAGAGAAACCTGACCCACACCCCCTGAACCGAAGGGACATGCACTTCTCAACTGTCTGTACCTGGCCAGTGCGGAAAATGGCTGACTAAAGGGTAACGTATTTTTGGGACAAATGCAGGGTAAGATTATGGAGTAAAAAAGTCTGGTTGCTCAAGCTGATTTGATCTTAGTTGTATCAATACTGTAGTATAAAAACAATTGTAAGTGGTTGGTGGATAATAGCTTTGCATGTATTTGTGCTTGTCTTTCGAATAGCCCGAGCGGATGCATGTAAGGCTGTCGTCCATTAGCTCCTTGTACGTGTAGTTGTGCTTGTCTTCGGTATATCCTGCCACCAGGAATATATAATTGCTGAATAATAGCTTTACTTATGCTTGTCTTCAGGGCTTCTATTATAACCTGCCAGGACCAGCATATGTAGAGTCACTGTTCAGTAACTCCCAAATGGTCCACAATATTACATGTACTTGCGCTTATCTTCAGTATAACCTGCCATTTATATTAATTCTTATTCAATGCTGGTCTTTGTTTTTGCTTTTCTTATTTTTCGTGTGTTATCTTTATAGTAGAAAATAATTAAAAACCTTTTCTGAGGAATAACTAGTAGTTCTTGTTTATCTTATACGGACGCTACTCAACCTCATTACATCTGTGTTGGGTGGCGGGAAGTAGCGATCACCCAGGGCCCAATTAGAGTCCTGACACTTGCCCCCTTCTTCCTTTATCTCTGAATATAGCAGCATAGTATCAATGGCAGGAGCTTGAGCTCCTGAAGTTAGTTCTACTAATGGAAGAACCGAATTGTCAAGTCGCCTATGAGGATATTCACGGGCCCGGGAACAAAAATACTGTTTAAGAAGACAACAAACCACTCCAACAGTAATCAAAAAACAAAGGCCAGCAAAAATCCAGGCGGAGATGACTCCTGGATCAGACCATAAATTCATTTAGCTAATTATCAAATACCATGAAGGGATATAAAACCTTACAATCGTGGACCTGCCACAAAACTTTATAATTTTCAAGCTTACTAAGGGTGCAAGGGAGAATTGATAATAACTGGGCAGAAGCTGGATATGAGTCAACAGTGTGCCCTTGTTGTCAAGAAGGCCAATGGAATATTGTGCTGTATTAGTAGGAGCATTGCCAGCAGATTGAAGGAAGTGATTATTCCCTTCTATTTGGCACTAATGAGGCCACACCTGGAGTACTGCGTCCAGTTTTGGTCTCCCCACTACAGAAGGGATGTGGACAAATTGGAGAGAGTCCAGCAGAGGGCAACAAAAATGATCGGGGGGGGGGGTACTGAGGCACATGACTTATGAGGAGAGGCTGAGGGAACTGGGGTTATTTAGTCTGCAGAAGAGAAAAGCGAGGGGGGATTTGATAGCAACCTTCAATTACCTGAAGCGAAGTTCCAAAGAGGATGGAGCTACGCTGTTCTCAGTAGTGGCAGATGACAGAACAAGAAGCAATGGTCTCAAGTTGCAGTGGGGAAGTTCTAGGTTGGATATTAGGAAACACTATTTCACTGGGAGGGTAGTGAAGCACTGGAATGGGTTACCTACGGAGGTGGTGGAATCTCCATCCTTAGAGGTTTTTAAGCCCCAGTTTGACAAAGCCTTGGCTGGGATGATTTAGTTGGTGTTGTCCTGCTTTGAGCAGGGGATTGGACTAGATGACCTCCTTAGGTCTCTTCCAACTCTAACGTTCTATGATCACATTCTGTTTGGGATCCATTCAAATTTCCCTTCCAGGACTGTGACACATTCATCTGTAGCACTATTGAGTCTGATTTCAAAGCACAATTCTGAATCACAGAGTTGAGAATACGGCATTATGTGACACGTTAGTAGGTGGAGGATATTCTTCTCCACATTCTAAATATTGCATGGCTCAGACAGAAGCTGACATAACTCGAGTGTTGGGGAAGGAGAGAATCCCTCCAACTCACCCTTCACCTTCCAGTCTAACAGAAGCTGAAACAATATTCTTTTGCCTGTCCCTGCTCTTGGTTATATTTAAATATATTTTAAATGAGAAAAAATGAGTGTTGCTCTGCACAACCCAGGGGGTACCATGAGAACAACTAGGAATGAAACAATCTGTCCCCAAAGGGGGAACTCGGTGACTGTAACAATCACTTTGCAGTGCGAGGAATAGTATAAAAGTGATACTCCAGGTTTCTTTAAACTAAGAAAAATGGTGGAGGTCAGGTTACTTTGTGCAGAAACGCGTTTGAAAACTTCAACCACTGTATGTGGGCAAAAGCAGGTAACTCATCTGGGGGACCTGACAGACCATGGTGAAGCAAATGGTGCAAATAGCCTTAGAGTTCACTATGTGGGAATTAGCCAAAGTATTAAAGAAAACATATTTTGTCAGCCCTAGGCAAGTTTTTATGGTATTTATCACTCTTGTGGATCCTCAGATGCGCAACATGGTGTGAGCACACATAAAAGCTCTTCCCAAACCCTGAGCATTTATAGGGTTTCTCTCCTGTGTGGAATCTCTGAAGACAAATAAGCCCTGGTCAGTCAGTGAAGATTTTCCTACACTCCCAGCATGCATAGGGTCTGTTTCCTTTGATGTGTAATAAGGCCTGAGCGGTAAGTGAAGGTTTTTCCACACACCGAACATTTATAGGCTCTTTTTCCTGAGTGAATTCTCTCATGTCTGAGAAGGTGTGAGTTGTCATTGAAGTTTTTCCCACACTCTGAGCATTCATATGGTCTTTCTCCTGTGTGGATTCTATGATGTCTAATAAGTGCTGAACTCTGAGTGAAGCTTTTCCTGCACTCACAGCATTCGTAAGGTCTCTCTCCTATATGGACCCTCTCATGTCTAATAAGGGGGGACATATCATTGAAGCTTTTCCCACACTCAGAACAGGTATAGGGTCTCTCTCCTGTGTGGATTCTCTCATGCCTAATAAGCTTTGAGGGGCTACTGAAGCTTTTCCCACATTCAGTGCATGTGTTGTTTTTCTCTCCTGGGGAGATTCTTTGCTGGGCTCTGGTTTCCTTGAGGTGTTTGTGAGTTCCTGGCCTATTTGTAGATTTACCCAGTTTCTCCCCTGGCTGGTTTCCCTGCTGCCTTTTTGGCCTGTGCTGACTCTTACAAACTTTTCCCTGCTCATGACTCCTGGACACAGTTCCTTTAGATCTTTGTGATAATGCTTTGTGCAGTTCCACTTGCTTAGCATCTGCCTGTTGAGAATTCTGCTCCTGATTCTCATTCACCATCCAGTCACCTGCTGGGAGAGAGAGAAACATCAGAAACAGGGATAGAAAAGGGGACAGGAAACCAAACTAAGTGCTGTGAAGGCAGAAAAATATCAGGAACTACATTCCCCTACACTCCTCCCCCTAGGGGAGAGAGAAGGATACCAGAACTGCCATCCAAATACTCAGGAGAAAGGGAGGTCAGGAAAGGAGCCACTGCCAGACATCAGTCAGGATGGGGAGGAAACCACTGCCAGATCCCAGCTATTCCCTTCAGACACAGGCAGATTCTGAATTGCTTTATTGATTCCTCCCCTGTGCAGGCACCTCTCAGAATTCCTCTTTCCTCTGAGCACTGTATATTGGCCATAGCTCTTCCCCTTCATTCCAGCTTGGCGATCGACCAGCTTTGGAATGGGAAATACTGCTCTAGGGAAAGACAACAAGGGAAATTCATGGGACTTTTTTTTTCCTCTCCCTCCCTCCTTCCCAGATTGGATTTTTTTCCCCTAAATCTCCCTTGCTGCATAGTAAACTGTCCTATTGTTCTACCTTCAGTGGGCATAGAGAACAACTGACCACCATCCTCTTTGTAACAGCCCTTAACATCTTTGAAGACTGTTATCAGATCCTCTCTGTCTTCTTTTCTCAAAACTAAACATGTCCAGTTCTTTCAATCTTTCCTCACAATTCATGTTTGAAGATAATGAGGTAGCTTTATGGACATTTCTTCTCCAGCACCATTCTGAATGCATATGAGTGGGGGTGAGGAGGATCCTCCTAGAGCATGCTGAAGGGTGATTAGAGAGGTAGGAAGGGAATCAGGTGACAACAAGGGAAGACAAGGTTTCAAAGGTCAGTGGTGTCAAATGCAGATGACAGGTCAAGGAGGATGAGGCTAGAGTGCTGGTTTTGAGCTTCGCCTAGGGAGAGCTGTGACCTTAAAAACATCACAGTGTCATCTGGCACACTGTTGGTGTGATATTTACCCAATGGGGGTCATATAATGTATCCCTGAAAGAAAGACAGTTACCTTTTTCCGTAACTGGTGTTCTTCAAGATGTGTTGCTCATGTCCATTCAACTTAGGTGTGTGTGCTCACCACATGCACCGGTGCTGGAAGTTTTTTCCTCAGTGGTATCCATAGGGGACTGGCTCCGGCGCTGCTGGCTTCCCCCATCCTCAGTTCCTTCTTGCCCTCTTTCTCCACTGTTGGAGTTTCCAGCAGGTTGTGGAATGGACATGAGCAACACATCTCGAAGAACACCAGTTACAGAAAGGTATCCGTCTTCTTTGAGTGCTTGCTCACGACCATTCAAATTAGGTGACTCCCAGCAGTACCCTTCAGAGGTGGGTAGGAGTTCACAGATGTGTAGATTGCAACACAGCTCTGCCAAACCCAGTGTCGTCCCTGACCTGCTGAGTGATAGCGTAGTGGGCCGTGAACATGTGCCTGGAGGACCACGTCGTGGCTCCACAGATGTCCTAGATCGGGAAGTGTGCCAGGAAGGCTGCTGAAGATGCCTGCTCTCTGACAATCGGCGGTGGAGGGACTCCCGCTAACTTGTAGCAGGTCCAAATGCAAGAGGTGATCCAGTTAGAAATCCTCTGCGTGAACACCAGGAGGCCCTTCATCCAATCAGCTGCAGAGATTAAAAGCTGAGTCAATTTATGGAAAGGCTTTGTCCGATCTAGGTAGAAATCCAGGGCCCTTCTTACGTCCAGAGCATGAAGGCACCGCTCTTCACTAGTCTCATGGAGCTTAGGGCAGAAAACTGGAAGGAAGATATCCTGGCCCATGTGGAAAGTAGACACCACCTTGGGAAGGAAGGCCAGGTGGGGCTGGAGCTGAACCTTGTCCTTATCGAAGACCGTGTATGGCTGTTGAGGTCAGGGCTCGGAGACTTGCCTCACCGATGTCACTGCCACCAGGAAAGCTACCTTCCATGGCAGGTGAGACAGGAAGCACGAAGCCAAAGGCTCAAAGGGCGGACCTGTGAGCGAGGACAGAACCAAGTTGAGATCCCACTGAGGGGCCGGGGACCAAACTTGAGGAAAAAGTCTCTCGGGGCCTCTAAGGAACCTGACTGTCACGTCATGGAAGTACACCATCTGCCACTGGATTGGTGGATAAAAGGTGGAAAAGGCCGCCACGTACACCTTGATAGAGGAGTGCACCAGTCTCTGGTTTCTCAAATGAAGCAGGTAGTCTAAGATCAACTGCACCGAAGAATGCAAAGGGGAGATGCCCCGTTCAGCCGCCCAGCGGGAGAACCTGGTCCACTTTGCCAGGTAGGTCTGCCTAGTCGAAGGCTTTCTACTCTTGAGGAGGACCTTCTGGGGCCGGGGACGGATTGCTGGGAAACTTGATAGCGTCCCAAACCGGTGCTGGCGAGGCCACACTGGGGCAAGCATGATAACCTGAGCCTTGTCTCTCTTGATTTTTGCTAGGACTTTGATGAGTGGAATTGGAGGGAATGCGTACATCAGGCTTCCTGCCCATGCCAGGAGGAAGGCATCGGAGAGGAAGCCCTTGCCCAGACCCTGTCTGGAGCAAAACTTGTGAAACCTCCTGTTCTGCCTGGTGGCAAACGAATACACTTGGGGAGTTCCCCACCTCTGGAAGATCATGCCAGCTACCTCCGGGTGGAGCAACCACTTGTGGTGAGAGGAGAAGTCCCTGCTTAGGTGATCTGCTAGCGTGTTCCTGGCCCCCAGAAGGTGACACGCTTCTAGATGGATTCCGTGGTCAATGCAGAAGTCCCAGAGATGGAGTGCCTCTTGGCAGAGGGCCAAGGATCGCACACCGCCTTGCCTGTTGATGTAGAACATCAAGGCTGTGTCGTCCGTCAAGACTAATCACTCTGCCCGACAAGTGAGGTAGGAGGACCACGCACCGCTCTGAGCTTTTTGACATTGATGTGTAGCGTCGACTCCTCTGGGGACCACATACTTTGGGTCTGGAGGGTGCAGAGGTGCACCCCCCCATCCGAGGCATCTGAAATCAACTCAGCTAATGAGGAGTGCTGACAAAGGGAACTTCTTCTAGGACTTACCTGGGATCAGTCCACCATCACAGTGAGGTAAGTATCGTCGCAGGGATGGTAACTACCTTTTCCAGGTGGTCCCTGGACTAGGAGAAGACCATCACCAGCCACTGCTGCAGGGGTCACATCCGGAGCTTGGCGTGGCACACCACATATGTGCATGCTGCCATGTGACCTAGGAGGTGCAGGCAAACCCTGGCTGTAGTCAGGGGAAATGCAGAGACTTCCATGATGAGGTCCGGCAATGCCCTGAATCTCTCCAATGGCAGGAACACTATGGCAGAGGATGAGTTGAGGACTGCTCCGATGAACTCTATCCTCTGTACCAGAACTAATGGTAAATGACAAAAAAAAAAAAAAATCTACAACAGGCCGAGGCGATGACAAGTGGCTAATAGCATCGTGACATGCCTTTGGACCTGGAGCTGCCTTGGACCAGCCAGTCATCGATGGAAGGGTAGAGCTGGACACCCCAACATCTGAGGTAAGCTGCCACTACCGACATGCACTTGGGTAAATACCTCCCAAATGGGAGTACCACGAACTGATAGCGGTTGGGACCTACCATAAACCAGAGGAAGTGTCTGTGTCCCTCGAAAATGGCGATGTGGAAGTATGCACTTTTCAGATCGAGGGCAGCATACCAGTCTCCTGGATCCAGGGAGGGGATGACGGATGCCAGGGAGACCATATGGAACCTCAGCTTCATTAGGAAGCGGTTCAAGTCTCGCAGGTCCAGGATATGCCGCAGACTGCCCTTGGCCTTTGGGATTAAAAAGTAATGTGACTAGAACCCCTTGTACTCCGGAGGAACGACCTCCACTGCACCTAGCTGCAGTAACCCCTCGTGAGAAGGGTACCTGAAGAGGGACGGGGAGGTGGGGTGGGAAGGAGGGGTAGAAAACAACTGAAGAGTGTAACCCCACACCACCGTATTGAGGACCCATTGGTCTGATGTTATAGATGCCCATGCAGGGAGCAAAGGAGAAAGCCGGTTGGTTAAAATAGGGGAGGGAGGATTCTGGGAACAGTCCCGTATGTTGCCTTTGGGCATACTCTCAAAACGAGCGCTTGCCCGCCTGCTTATTGTGGGTCAAGATTGATTGAGAAGCCTGTGAAGGCTGTTGGCTAGTACGCCACTGGTAGCCTCTGGATTTCTTATGGGGAGGCTCCTGGCGAGGGTGGCTCCCCTGGCCCAGAGGCTGCTGTGGCTTGAACTGCTTGTGGGCAGGGCTGGGAACATACAGGCCCAGCATTTTAAGTGTTGTACGGGAGTCCTTTAGGCCATGGAGCTTATTGTCCATCTGTTCTGCAAACAGGGCTTGCCCATCAAAGGGAAGGTCCTGCATCGACTGCTGAGCCTCCATGGACAAACCAGAAAGGAGCAGCCAAGATGCCTGGTGCATGGCGATGGCCGTGGTTTGGACAGCAGTGTCCGCCACATCCAATGCCACCTGGAGTGTCGCCCTGGCCACAATTATGCCCTCCTCCATAATTGCTCTGAACTCCTTCCTAGAAGCCTCAGGAAGAGAGCCCTCGAACTTGGCCATGGCTTGCCACATGTTAAAGTCACAGCATCTCAGGAGGGCTTGATGGTTGGCCACCCTCAACTGGAGACTATAGAACAAATAAACCTTACACCCAAACAAGTCTAGTCTATTGGGAGTCTTTGTTCTTAGGGGTAGACCCGGGGTTCACCCTGTGGCTCCCTGTGGTTAGCTGCTTCTAATCACTAGGGAGTCAGGAGTAGGGTGGGTGTACAGGTACTTGTGGCCTTTGGATGGCACAAAGTACTTGTGCTCCACCCCATTGGAGATGGGTGGCAGGGAGGAGGAAGTTTACCACAGGGCATCAGTGATTTTAGAGACCTCTTCATGAAGGGGCAAAGTCACCCTGCCCAGTGCTGTGGAGCAGAGCACATCAAAGAGAGTCTGAAGGCTCCTCTACCTGAAGATCCAGGTTGGCAGTGACCCTCTTCAGTAGTT